TTTTCCTCAAATGCTATGTGACTTTGTACAACGATGCAGTGATGCATGTGACTTTTTTCCTCAGATGCAGTGGTGCATGTGATGCATGTGACTTTGTGCAGTGATGCAGTGATAGATGTGACTTTGTGCAATGATGCATGTGACTTTGTGTAGTAATGTAGTGATGCATGTGACTTTATGCAGTGATGTAGTGATACATGTAACTTTCTGACTTTGTAAATTATATACTTTGTGACTTTTTTCCTCACATGCATTTGTGCAGCGTAACTTAGATGCTTTGTTTTTTCCTCACATTTCAGAATTCATCTAAGTCACATTAATATGCCCACATGACAATAGTATTAACAAACAACTATATAAAGGACTGAATGAGTGATGGTAAACACACAACCTTTCCACTCAGTTCGCCCTAGAAAAGTATTGTTCATCTATTGAGAAAAAATCAAATGGAGTATAGATTCACGACAGGGGGTAGGAATCGCAGAGGTGAGAGTTCACGACAAGGAAGAGGAACGGGAAGGGGACTCGCAGGGGATAGGAACTTCGAAAGAGGTGAGAGTTCATGCCGAGGAACGGGAAGGGGAAATGGCGATGTTGAAGATAAAACACCATTTACTTTGTTAGATGTCCCTTGTGCTTATCATGATAGGTTTAGGAAGCGATATTTTGTCATACCCAAGTACTATCGAGATCCATGTGGTTTCGTGGAGGATCCATCTGATAGTCAAACAGGATATCGTTTAACAGACGCTAGACTTCTGAAGTGGCCCGCACTATTTATAGAGCGAGTGCAAATGGAAAGATTATGTCGGGAAAATCGACTGAAGGTGCCGAAAGCACGTTCAGTTCAGATCCAAAAGGAAGATCCAGATAATGTTGATCGACTATGTGAAAGACTTCGACGTAAGATTTCTCAAATGTGCCGTAGGTTAGCCCGCAATATAAAACTATCTATACTTAAATCGGATGCCAAGAAGAATAGAACAGCACCAAAAGCTACGGCTATCAAAGAAGATCCTGTATTTCTCTCTGACCCTGAGCTCTCTGATTGTTCAGACTCTGAGATTGCCGATTTGAGCGAGGCGTCTATCTATCTACTAAATTATATTAGGTTATCTATAATTATGTGTTGTGTGTGTTAAAATAACTCTTTCGACAATGAGTTTGTGAAAGGTGTGTCTAATATTTGTCTATGTAACTGTTAAGTATTGTACTCATCACTTTATTTTATATACTGTGTCATGTTGAATGTTTCCACAAATTATTTTTGTGGGATACTTATGTTTGAACTAGCCACATCGTTCTAAAGTGTTATAAGTGTTGTAGTTATACCTTTATTTTGTTTTCCTATTCGTGGTAGTAATTAGCAGATTAGATACTTTGTATATGCTGTGTGAAGTTTTATTTAAATATTTCTTGACAACAAAAATTTAAGGGAACAACAAATATTTAGTTTCGAAAATTCCGCAAAAGCAGGCTTAGTTTGGGAAATAAATTAGTATAGGAGCTTAGTTTGGGAAAAGTCCCGACAAAATCCCTTTGAAACTGTGCAAAATGTTCTGTAGGGATTGTGCATGTCTCGAGGCCATTATTTTCTTTTTCTTTTTTAATTTTTTATTTTTTATTTGTTGTTTTTGTTTTAGTCCATCATCGATCTTTTTTAAATTATATTTGAATTATATAAGAAAATAAAATTTTAATTTAAAAATTTATATTTAAATAACAATTTAAAAAATATCAAGTAAATTAAGCAAATATTTAATTTACATTTTTTAGACAATTCACTACTCTTTAGACAATGCATGCTATTTATTTTTTAAAAAATTTATGTATAAATTATTTATGTAAATATAAAATTGATCTGATAATCGTACATATAATTTTATCAATTTTTTTAAAAAAATAATGGATGCAAAAAATAATTTTAAAATTACATAATTTATTTTTAAATTTTAAAATAATAAAATTTGATAGCTAAGATTGTTTATCAATACAATATTTTTATGAATAATTTATACATAGAGATCTACAAGAAGACTGAGTGAATTATAGAATGTGAATTGAAGAATAATAATAATAATAATCAACAGTTGTGGATTGGTTGCAGTTTAAAAGTGTGGTTACGAATCATGTTTTCTGTAAAAATCAAATTTTTTTTAAAAGTGTGGATTTCTTTACAAAATAGTTTTCTTTAAAAGCGTGGTTTCTAACCACGCTTTCTTTACAACACAGATTTCCTTAAAAGCGTGGTTTGTAACCACGCTTTCTTAATTAAAAGCGTGCTTTGTAACAATGTTTTTATGATTTTACAAATTTATCACGCCTAGAGCAGAAATATTGTGAAAGCGTGTTTCAAATAACGTTTCAGTTTATTTTGGGAATTCCATCCAAACTAGACTTAGTTTGGGAAATATATTACTATTTTAGCTTATTTGGGAAAAAGTCCCAAAATCTCATTCATCAATCATATAAATAAATGTCGCATCACTTACATTAAAATGTATATTAGTTTTGATCTCTATTACCTTACTGGAAAAAAAAAAATTAACTATGTCAAAATATAAGATTTATTATATTTTTTAAAATTTTAATGTTATTTATCCATTTAAAAAATAAATTCAAAATACTTTCTTGCATTTGCAAAAAGAGTCCTAGTCTGGGCCTGTCACCCGTTATGAATCCTAATTCGATGATTTAATCGTTAATCTATAAAGTTTTAATATGTAGATTATTTAACCAAAAAATTCACATCCATTAATTTTTTATTATATTTGTATTAGAAAAAATAGATAATAAATATTAAAAAAAATTAAAAAATTATTTATTAAAAAAAACAAGTGTGATTAAACATATAATCATAATTATTAAATCATTATAAATTTTCTTATAAATAATTTATGGAAGAATCAAAAAGGGCATTTAAAGTGATATCAAGTACATATTTTTTGATTGTAGTTAAGAAGCTCTGTACATTAAGGAATATGATTAGAAGCAACTAGACATTTCCTTTTTTAAAATAAACTTAAAAAAGGAGATTTGTGTGGACCCACCATTTAGTGCTGAAATCACGGCAACAATTGTTGGAAATTAAATAATGCCCCTTCTTTTTGTCTAATTCATGCATTAAACTTTACACAGTAAATGACAACTTCAATGTCGGCTAAGTAACAGTAAATGACAACTTCAATGTCGGCTAAGTAATTAATAGTGAATCAACTTGCTTGTTTTTATTTTTTAAAAAATTTTATTTTTTTATTTTTCATATTTTTTTATTTTTACTAAATTTTTTTAATATTTTAAGTAATTTTTTATTTTTTAAATACACCTAATATAAATACGCTTACAAAATATAATATTTGTAAAAAAATAAAAAAATCACCAAATACAAAAGAATACAAAAAAAAATTATGAAAATTTGATACATTTTCATATTTTGTTATATTCAATAAATTTGTTAAAGATTTTTATGTAAATTTTATATTTTTTTAAATATATCAAGTAGATCTAAACAGTAAAAATAATAATTAAATATTTTAAAAAATCACCAGTTTTCAAAAAACTTAATCCAGAAAACTCAAACCAAACACACTGATTGGTTTAGCAGATCCAAAAGGAAAAAAATATTTATTTATTTTTCAATCATGGGGATTCAGAAAAAGAGTTAATTATATGTTTGACATGTATTAAAAAAATTAAAAAGTCACTATCTTATTTAAGTTACATTACCTCTTTACCACATCAATTCAAATTCAACCCATATCCAACTCATATTTTATAAAAATTCAAAAAGTGCACTTATTTAAAACATCTCAAACCACCCCTTAGGATCTTTATGCTTTTACTGTAATTTCATTTTCGTATTTCTTTTATTTTTCAATTCTAATACTAATCAATCACTTACATTTCATTTAAAGTTAAATTTTATTCTTTTATTCAGTTACCGTTGGGAGGTTGATAAAAATTAAAGAAAAATAGGTGGGTGCTCGAATTTCGTGGGTCGAAATTTGGGTCTAATTCGAAGAGAGGGAGAGAAGAGAGGAGAAGGAGAAGAGAGGGAGACGGGGTGCTGGTTCTGCCGACGTCCTCGTCGCCTCACCGTCCTCGTCGCCTCGCCGTCTTTGCCGCAGCTCCGTCGCTTCGCCGTCCTCGTCGCCTCGCCGTCCTCGCCGCAGCTCCGCCTCTGCCTCTGCCTCGCCGCCACACCTCCGCCCCTGCCTCAGCCCCGAGTTTGTTGGCCCCCTCCCCTCCCCTCCTTCTCTTCCTCCTCCTTCTTCCTCCCCTCGTCTTCTTCTTCCTTCTGCTGAAAAAAAAAATAAAAAAAATACAAAGATCAAAACGACGTCGTTTTGATCTTTCAACCCATTCGACCCACGAATTTTCGAGCTACCAACCGGGGTTGAAAATTAAAAGTGAAAAGGTCAAATAATATTTTAGCAAAAGTTCATGAATTAAAGTAAGATTTTGATGAAAGTATAAGTAGACTATTCTATATTTTCGTTAGGAAGTATTACTCTTTAGCACCTACAACGCATCTATAAAAAATCCATTACAGGCTAAAAAATAAATCATGCCACATTTAACTCATACAACAAATTTCGCTAATCTTATTAATAGTATGGCAGAAAGTAAAATTACACCTACATTTTTTTTATTATTATAATATTTCTTATCACTCACTCATAATGGAAGTAATTCATATACCATGAGATAATATGGGTTGACTCTAATTATGAATAGATTATTAAAAAATGTTATAATAAAAGTATGAGATTTTAATTGAATTCATTGACAAAAGAAGCCTCCTTTGGAGATTTAAGATTTTAACACAAAAAAAAAATTATTATTTTATTCTTTTTAGTTTTTTACATATTTTTTAATAAAAAAATAAAAAATAACTTTTCACACTATTACAACTTCACTTAAAATGTAAAAATATTTTAATTGTCGCAATTGATAGTGAAAGTACTATATAATTATAAAAAAAAAAATGCAAGGGGTAACATTAACGCAATTGAAAACCACCCAAAAGGTGCAATGGAGAACTTCCTGTTTAAGAAGTGGTCAAGTGTTCTTTTCACACACACACTTTCTCACAGAGACACAGAGAGAGTTACTAGGGAAGGAAATGAAGTCGAGTTGGAAGAGGTGGTGGAGCTCTGTTGACAAGCACACCCACTTGTTTGTGAAATTGGCACTTTCAATCCTCCTATTTGGTCTTGCTTTCAGGTTTATCTTCTCTCAAGCAACTGGGTTTTCTAATGTTGCTGATACACCCTTTATCAAGCAAGCAGTGAATCCGAAACCGGCAGTTTCTATTGATTTCCCGGAAAATCAAGACCACTTTCCTGGAAATGACACTCCAGTTTCAGTCAACCCAAAACAAGAAGTTTCTGCCGATTTACGAAACACCCAAATTCCTGAAAATGGTACTCTGGTTTTGGTGAATCCAGAACTGGTTGATTTGGAGGAGACTAGAGATCAGATTCCTGAAAATGGTATTCAAATTTCGGGAAATGGGACTCAGGTTTTGGTGAATCCGAAACAACCAGTTTCTATCGATTTGCAGGAAAATAGAGATCAGATTGAAAATGGTACTCAAGTTTCTGTGAACCCAGAGCAACCAGTTTCTGGCGATTTTCCAGAAAATAGAGATCAAGTTCCTAAAAAAGGTACTGTAAATTTCGCATTTTTTTGATCTTTTTCTGATTAAAACACTGAAAAGTTTGATGGATTTGTTCTAATTTGCTCTGCTAAATCAAAATTCTCAGAGTAGGCATTTTTTTGGTAGCTCACACTGCACATCTATTGGTCTAACTGTTGTCTTCCTTAATTGGGTTGCTTTTTTTTATTTTATTTTATTTTTATTTTTTTTATAATTTTTTTCTGATTAAAACACTGAAAAGTTTGATGGGTTTTGTTCTAATTGGTAGCCCACACTGCACATCTATTGATCTACTGTTGTTGTCTTCCTTAATTGGATTGATATTTTTTCTTTCCTTAATATCCTTACATTAATATATGTGTATACATGCATATAATTTGGTGCGTATTTAATTTTGAATTATTTTCTGATTAAAACACTGAAAATTTTGATGGGTGTTGTTCTAATTTGCTCTGCTAAATCAAAATGCTCAGAGTGGACATTGTTTTGGTTGCTCACACTGCACATTTATTGATCTAACTGCTGTCTTCCTTAATTGGGTTGCCCATTTATACTTTCCCTAATATCCTTACTGTAATATATGCATATAACAGAGTTATTTACAAAACCCATGTCATTTTGAGGTGAATTTCCAAAATACAAGTTGTTTTCAACTTAATTATTTTGAAGTCGTGTTTTCAAAACATAACTCGAAGCCTAAATTGGTGTTTTGAAAACACAAAACAACTTGCATTTGAGAAATCTGTTTCAAAATAACTTGTGTTTGGTAAAAAGATTCGTATATATATAACATATATCCATGCATATAATTTAGTGCAAATTTATGTATTTCTGCCAATATTTATGGGTATTCTTGATTCAAAAATTGTAGATATCCCAGAAGTTCTTTCAAAATTTTTACCAAATGTCTCATATGGGTGTGGGACCCACATGGGTGTCATGTGAGACATTTGATAAAAATTTTAGTAAAACTTTTTGGGCCTCTAGCATTACTCTTCTTGATTTGGCATTATATTTTGGTACTGACTGTTTCATTACAACAAACTTAATTCAGAGAAATGTGATATTTTCTCCGGTGATTGGATCCCAACCTCGGGAGGTCCACTTTACACTAATGAGAGTTGCAGCTTGATTGAAGATCATCAAAATTGTATGAAGAATGGGCGGCCCGATACTGGGTATCTCAATTGGAGGTGGAATCCGCGAAATTGTGAGCTGCCGGCATTCAACGCAGAACTATTTCTTAGCTTGATGAGGAATAAAACATGGGTACTGATTGGTGATTCAATAACTCGAAACCACGTCCAGTCAGTGCTTTGCATTCTCTCAAAGGTAATTGTTACTGATATTTTAGCATAATTGATTGTTGTCTTGGGCTATTTGCAGAGGATTTGAATTTTGAAGTAAGCTTTTTTTCCTTGCTTATCTCCTTTATGGCTTGGTAATATGTGGTTCAAGATTTTCATTGATTTGATCCTTCATGGAACTTTTTATACGATGTCTGTGAGATATCCTAAGAGACAATTGCCCCTATAATGGTTAACCCTACTCTTATTTAAGAACTCATCATTTACGGTGTTTATTACTCTGTCAATTTCTAACTTACCTCACCACTACTTGCTCTAGCATAAGAATTTAGGTTTCTGCAATAGTGTTCTCGCCAGCTTCCAACTAATGAGTTTTGTAAGCCAATCAACATCCACAAAGACAAAAGGAGTTTTTACATGGAAATCCTCAAAGAGGGAAAAAAAAACCATAGGCACTCGCCAGCAAAACAATCCATTATATCAAGATAATAATACAATATACAAGTTAGGTGACTAACAAAGCAAAACAGTGGAGAAGAAAAACTCTGCACATCAATCCCACAAAGCAAAATGAATATACATCGCTCTCACTACTTTCTTACAGCATACACACACACACACACATATATTTATATACCAAGAGAGCTGAAGAAGTCGAATCAAGCATTGCCGCCAGACCTATCTTCAATGAGTAGGTGAAAATGCAGTAAAAAGTATAGAGAATATCATTAATTTAAGCTTGAGTAAGTCTTTCTTCTCCTTTCGAAGTTGAATCCATGCAAAGGAACCTTTCCAAACTCAACTAATTAGCTCTGTTTCAGCAGGTGAGGTGGGTAGGTGAGTCAACAGATGTCACATATGATAAAAATTGAAGATATCTTAGCTGCACCTCTCTTGTTCCGACATGAGTGTCCTTACATTAGAAAAATTGAAGGAAACTTATAAGATGTTCAATATCAAAAAAAATTTATTTCTATGTTAGAAAACTTTTTGAAATGTGAAAGAGTAGTTTCAATTCTGCTCCTACTAGGCACATGGTCCCTTATCCAGTTGTGTTGTTCCTTTCTTTCTTTTTTTTCGCCACCCAACTTTTATTTCTTTTCCTAGAGAGGAGGCCTATCATCTAATCCTTCATAAGGTTGCTGATTTGTATCTCAGCCTGGATTTTGAATGAACCAGCTAAAAGTTTTGATGAGTTTTAGTTTATATTTATATTACTAATTTGAAATGTAGCGTCGTGCCACTCATCTTGGAGTGCCAAAACACCTTTGCTCTTTGTTATTTATCATATTGGCTCATGCTCCCTTGTAAATCTTTTGAGTTTGAGCGCCTGCTTAAGTTGGTTAAATTAATTGAGGAATCATAAAAATGTTTCCATTTTGGGTTCATCACATCTCTTGTTTCATTCCCAGGATTCAACTTTGCATCTTGTATAGATCTCATGTATTAGAAAAAGTTGTAGTAAGGTTATTACCAACGGAGTTAAGTTAGTGTTTAATGGAAATACATGATTTTTCAATATCGATTTCTCTGTATCTTTTGTTTATCATTTGATGCTGCAGTTTTGTCATTCTGTCCTTGGACATATCAACATTCAATCTGATATCTGTAATTTTGCACTTTCATCTGTTGGTTCATCCATCTCAATATGTATTGAAAATTGAAGATACGATGGCACAACTGTCATATAATCTGTTTGTGTTTCAGGTGGAACAAGCCATACAAGTTTACCACGATGAGGAATACAGATCCAAAGGATGGCACTTCCCCTCATACAACTTCACCATCTCGGTGTTTTGGTCCCCTTTCCTAGCCAAAGCCGCCATTTTTGAAAACTATAATGGGGTTTCAACATCTCCCATTGAGTTACATCTTGACAAACTCGATACAACATGGACTGACCACTTTCGTGACACAGACTACATGATATTTTCTAGCGGTAAATGGTTTGTCAAAACCGCATTCTACTACGAAAATGGCACAATATTGGGCTGTCACAACTGCCCTAAAGAAAACCAAACTGAGCTTGGGTTCGATTTGGCTTATCGCAAAGTCCTTCAAAAGGTGTTCAACTTTATCGTCTCATCTAATCACACTGGCATGATAATTTATAGGACCTCCACGCCAGATCACTTTGAGAATGGTGAATGGTATAATGGAGGGAATTGCCTGAGAACGGAACCAGGCAAGGAAGGCGAGTTCAAGATGAATGAATTGAATAGAATTCTTCGCCTTGTTGAGTTAGAGGAATTTGAGAAGGCGGCTGCGAAAGCATCTAAAAGAGGGATTAGCCTTAAACTTCTTGATGTAATGCAGCTTTCATTGCTGAGACCTGACGGACACCCTGGTCTGTACAGATACTTCCATCCCGAGGCCATGGACAACACAACAAAGATTTTTTATGACTGTCTGCATTGGTGTTTGCCGGGGCCCATAGATTCATGGAATGATTTGCTTATGCAGATGGTTGTGAATGGTTGAGAAGATTATAGCAGATTGTATACTGTCATTGTTTTGTTTTCATTTGAAAGATAAAAAAACATGTTTAACGGATAATTTAACATTCATTTATTGATTTTTTAAGGCAGATCTATAGTATACCTTCAGCATCAACTAGTCTACAAATTGGCAAAATTGACTGATTTTTATTTATTTATTTTACGAGTGATAACAACCTACCTAGGCGTGGGAAGGGCAAGGAGGGGCTGGGGATGGAGGAAGTGGGTGGCGGAGGTGGAGGGTAGAAAAGTGGTGGGGATGGTGAGATCTGAGTGAGACAATCATTTTTGTCCCTTTATTTGAGATTCAATTTTTTTATAATTTTGTTATATGTTCTGTAATTTTGAAATTTAACCACTGAATTATAAATAGTTACTCTATATCTCTCTAAATTGTTTTTCTCTCCTAATTTTATAGTTTTTTTTATTATAAATATAAAAAATAAAAATAAAAATCTAAATCTGTGACAATATTCATTTTGATAAGAGTTATGCTATATAAATTAACAAATCTCACAAAAAAAATATTTTTACTCATTTATGTGATATCTTGTTTTAAATTCAAATTTTTTTTATTACATTACACCCCAATTAGTAAAAAAATAAATATTTAATTTTATTACTTTGTATAATATTTTGGTTTTGGCAACATGTATTGACTGAGGCAAGTGACTATCCACTTTCATCCCCACCCTCAACAATTTATTTGAATTTGAGAAATATAACCGTTACCCTCCCATCTCCCTGCATATAAAATCCCCCTCTCCCTTAACAAACCACTTTTCAGAACTAAACCTCTCTCTCTTTCTCTCATGGCAACCATTGCAGCAGAACCAGTCCCTACAAAGAAAGGGATGTCCAGAAAGGCATTGAAGCAAACAAAACCCATCATCAAATGAGGCCAACATTTTGGCCTCAGTGAGCTCTCAACCCTCCCCGACTCTGATTGCGCGCCATTGGAGGACTCTGCTGGGAAAGAAAACCATGAGAGCCTCTCATAGCCTCAATTCGCCAAGAAAACTAAGAAAGCACGGAAGAAAGCGAAACAACAACAACAAAATCAATCTTTTGAGAAGGAGTTGCTAGAAATGCAAGAAAAGCTTCAACAGTTGGGGATCCAGAAGGAGCAAACTGAGAAGCTATTGAAGGCACGAGAGGAGACTTTGAAGATGAAGGAGGAGGAGCTTGAAACAAGGGGGAAAGAGAATGCAAAATTGTAATGGCATCAGGTATGGGGTTGGTTTGATTTACAAGGTAAAATTGTTTCACAATGTGTTTGTCTTGTGGGTTTTTTTAATTTTTATGTGTTTTGGGGGGTAAATGATACGTGTGTTGATGTTGTTTGTATTGGTAAACATGTATGTGTGCATATATTTTGGAGGGGAAAATGTATGATTGCAGCGTGATGTTGGTGGGCGTAGGCTGTGATGTTGGGTTGAATTTGGGTTGATATCTGTTTTTCTTTTCTTTTTCTTGAGGTCCAAACTTTATTGGAACTTGAATTGTTAATTTTTTACTAATGAGTCTTGGCATATCGATTTAGAAATTTGGCTTGGTCGTACTTGTATGCTGTTCAGGATTGTTGTTGGGGCCGAGTGCTATAGCTAATATGATGGTTCTTTGTAAAATAAGGAGTTGTAGGTCTAAGTAAAATTACCATTGTTCATTTTAGCAGAAAATAGCATCTTTTAGTTAGGAAACCAAATTGCAGGTGTTGAACTTAATATTTGTTAAATACATTGATAGAGAGAGAATAAATTGTATGTATTATTGATTGATTGATATTATTGATTGATGTGTATTATGTATATTACAAGGATTCCTATTATATAGGAAAGGATTTGGGAGTAGATGAGGAGTAGGTGTAGGTGGTAGTGGAGGTGGTAGGTGGAGTGGGTGGTAGTGGAGGTGGTAGGTGGAGTGAGTGGTAGTGGTAATTTACATTTACACAATTTACATTAACAGCCCCCCTCAAACTCAAGGAGGATAGGCACTAGCCAACTTGAGTTTGGAGAGAGTCACAAAACAGAAAAATAAACTGATAAATAAAATAAAACAGGATAGGAGACACGGTATGGTCGTGTCAGACCGATGTAGCAGACAGTTTATGGGGTCATGTCGGACCGTTGTAGCAGACACTGTGTGGTCGTGTCAGACCGATGTAGAAGACAGTTTATGGGGTCATGTCGGACCGTTTGGCTAAGAGCATTTGGAACGTGTTCTGATGCTCATACCACTCCAAAACACTAGGACGTGTCCCTATGTTTCTTCCCCTGTGGTTAAGAGCATTTGGAACTCCGATAATATGAGTCTTGTTGTAGATTGAACTTACGGCACCAAGAGAAGTAGCAAATCAATGCCCACTTCAATTTTTCAAATTTTACAAGACTAAGGAGGTTTCTACTGGTTTTTATGGCATCAAGAGTGGTTACTTGAACATTCGAACACCTTGGTGGTACGCACAATTATAATACATATCTATATATCTATAGGATTATTCGTGTAGTTATATATATCTATAGGATTATTCGTGTAGTTAGGATGTGATGTGAATATAGGGATGGAAGTGCTAGTTGAGATTTACTAGCAGAGAGGTTGGGGAAAGTGAGGACTTTCAAAGATGGGAAGCTTAAAATATCAAAAGATGGCCTTCTTCTTCATGACCATGATGGGACTGTCGTCTCCGGTGACGTTCGTAATGGCTGGGCCGGCCTTTCCACACTGCAGGCCCTCTTCGTCCAGGAGCACAATGCAGTCTGTGATGCCCTCAAGGTACTTTTTAGAGGAACTATGTATGACCACATTTTTTAATTGTCATCATCAGTTTATTCTACAATGTGAGTGTTTGAGAAATTGTAATTTTAGTTGGTTATTTTAATTTTTAATTATTTTAGTAGGTTAAAATTTTTATATTTGAAAAAATGATTAGATTTTTTTTTAGTTGGATGTAATGTCACTGTAGGAAATTCAACTTTTGGTGTAGGTTCCAAAAACGTCATTAATTCTTTTTGCGGCGCTTAGCACTAAGCGCCGAGAATGCGGCCGTCGCTATAGCATTGTGGCGCTTTTAAAACGTCGTTAAATGGTTATATGCGGCATTTTTTAAAACGCGGCTAAATGTAATACATAACGCTAAACTGACGTCATGACAATTTTTAGCGACGTTTCAAAAACGTCGTCATAGCTTTTTTTGAATTTTAAAAATATAACCATTGGCTGTATAGTGGGGCTTTCAAAAAGGCCATTATATCTTCTCTCTCTTTTTTTTTTTTTTGAAATTGTGCTAATTTTAGGTGGTTGAACAAAAAAAATACCTATAATAAAATTGAAAAATAGTACTAATATGAACCAATAACTCCCATTCCCATGTAAATGAACATTTGTCAAAAGTCAAAAGATAAGCTAATTATATGAAAAGCAAATACAACATTAATTTACTTTTCCATTGAATTTAATATACAATCACCATTAACTACAAAATAACATATCCACAAATCATGTTTTAACATTCGCCAAAAAATAATAGGAAAAACATCAAGACAAACCCCATGAATTTTGACTTAATTTAATGTCTTGTCCTTATTACTATTTGTTTGTTTTTTTTTTTTTTTTGTTTTGGTGTGAAAGGAAAAAATATGTGTCAAAATAAAATTGGGGTAAAAAAAAAAAGAAAAGATAAAAAGCTGAGGGGCAAAGAAAAGTTGGGCGGTGGATAATGTGATGATGGTTTTGGGTGGAGAATATGTGAGAATGGAAAAAGGGTTATATAATAAAGTGCTCTCTGTCCTGAAGAGAAAAAGGTAGTGTTGTCTGCAAACCAACACAATGTGGTGCCAGCTATTAAACAAATATATATATATATATATATATATATATTTTTGAAACAAAAAACAAATTGTAGGTGGGTGTATGTTGATACTTTAATAAAATAGGAGAGAGTGGGTATTCAATTCGGCCAAAAGGAAGAGAGAGAGTTATTTTATTGGAGAGGGGAAGGAATTAAAAAATTAAAAGAAACAGATAAAAGAAAAAGAAGAAGATTCGGGGTGATCAACAACGAGTGGACCATTCCAGCGAACCAAATCGCCATCGCGGAGACCAAAACAAGCCCTCCGATTACGATCCGATCGCTCACATGATAACCCCAAGCGACCATCGGATCTTCGCGGAAGAAGACGAGGACGAGCCAGAGGGCGAAGACCGCGGCGGAGGTGATCAGAGAAATCGGAGTGAGGAGGATAGAGAAGGCGGAGATGAGACAGCCGACGACGACGCGTTGGCCGGTGGTGGAGGCGAGAGAGATGTCGATGATGATGATGTGGCGGTCAATGTCGATATGGGTTTTTCTACACTGTTCGCGGCCGTGGCTGTCTCGGACCACGAGGCTTGAGAATACCATTTGATCATGACGGAGTTGCTGTCTTCTACATCTGGAAGACGAGGGTGGAAAGTTGATAAAATGGTGAGTGTACTCAAGAGAGAGTGTTTCGGCGATGAGGCGGCAGGTGGTGTTGGTCGCCGGTGACAACGACGGCGCCTGGAGTGGAGGACGGACGGACTGACTTTTGTGTCCGTCACGGTGGGAGCAAGCGATGCAAATCCGAAGGGTGTGGGAAGAGTGCACAAGGTAGCATTGATTTTTTGCAAGGCACACGGAGGAGGTAAGAGATGCTTGTGGGGCCAGCCTGGCTCGGAATTTGGTCAAGGTGATGAACTCTGTAACTGATGTGGCAGTCAATGTCGATATGGGTTTTTCTCCACTGTTCGCGGCCGTGGCTGTCTCGGACCACGAGGCTTGAGAATACCATTTGATCATGACGGAGTTGCTGTCTTCTACATCGGGAAGACGAGGGTGGAAAGTTGATAAAATGGTGAGTGTACTCAAGAGAGAGTGTTTCGGCGATGAGGCGGCAGGTGGTGTTGGTCGCCGGTGACAACGACGGCGCCTGGAGTGGAGGACGGACGGACTGACTTTTGTGTCCGTCACGGTGGGAGCAAGCGATGCAAATCCGAAGGGTGTGGGAAGAGTGCACAAGGTAGCACTGATTTTTTGCAAGGCACACGGAGGAGGTAAGAGATGCTTGTGGGGCCAGCCTGGCTCGGAATTTGGTCAAG